CAATGTTCCTATGAATAGAGGGCAAGAAAATCCTAAACAATAAATGTTTTGATTGCCACTAGAGGAGTCAAAGAAGAATCGTATTTTAAAAGAGGTGGAGATGGGATTTCTTTTTTTGTAAGGAATAAGAACAAGTATTTTCTTGTTCTGATGCACACAGTCATCTGTCAGGGATAAAAACAATGATCATAGCTCAGCAGTGGACATTTTTATTATGTAAAATCAGTCTTTCAATAGCAGCAATAAACACTGCATCAGCCATTTTATTTTAAAATGAAAATAACATTTCACTTGGGAGTGTTGTGGTACTCAGCCAGCTTTTCTCAATCTAGCGTCTTCCAGACTTTGTAGGGCTCCCGTCAGATTCAATCAGTGTGGCTGTCACTCCCAGTTAACATGGCTCAAGGTAATGGGAGATTTGGAAGACAGCAGGCTGTACACACACACACATAGTTATGCATCCATTTTATATTTTATTATCCTGTAGCAATGTTGATAGGAAGAAAATCAACTCATTTGAGATGTGATAGAGAAGAGTTTGAGGATACAGTAGATTGCTACAAAGACAAATAAAGGAGTCCTAGAGAAAATCAGGCCTGGACTTTTCTCTAGAAGCTGATTACACTGAGGCTGTTGCAATTTAGCCTTACCAATGAGAAGAGTTGACTCACTAGAAAAGTACTTGGTAAGGGGGAGGGCGGTAGGGAAGAGGAAGACCCCATTACAGATGGATAGATTCAAACATGGAAGTCATGATCCTGAATTTGCAAGGCCTGAGCAGAGCTGCTGTGGGTAAAACGAACTGGACGTCTCTCACTCATAAGTCAACATCAACTGGAGTATTGCAGCACACCCAAATACCTGGGAGTTACCCTGGACAATTCTCTGACCTACAAGAAGCACTGCCTGAATGAATATCAAGCCAAAAGTGGGTACTAGAAACATACGAAAGCTGACTGACACAACCTGGGGATTACAACCAGATACAGTGAAGACATCTTCCTTTGTGCTTTGCTACTCTGCTACTGAGTACGCATGGCCAGTGTGGAACACATCTTAACACGCTAAAACAGTGGATGTGGTTCTTAATGAGACATGCTGCATTATCACAGGCTGTCTGCGCCCTACACTCCTGGAGAAATTACACTGTCTAGCCGGTATTGCACCACCTAACATCCACCAGGAAGTAACAGCCAATAATGAAAGGACCAAGGCAGTGACATCTCCGGCCCATCCCCTGTTCGGATATCAGCAAGCACGCCAATTCCTTAAATGAAGAAATAGTTTTCCAAGATCTACAGAGATACTCACAGGAACCCCTCAGCAAGCGAGAGTCTAAAAGTGGCAGGCTCAAACCCAGCACCTCAATCCATGGCTGATACCAAATGACTCCCTTCTGGACACACAGAAGACTGGGTGACTTGGAAGGCGCTAAACAGACTGCGCTTTGGCACCACGAGATGCAGAGCCAACCTTAAGAAATGGGGCCACAAAGTGGAGTCCACAACATGCGAGTGTGGAGAAGAGCAAACCACAGACCACCTATTACAATGGTTCTCAACTTGTGGGTCCCCATGTGTGTTGGCCTACAACTCCCAGAAATTTCAGCCAGTTTACCAGCTACTAGGATTTCTGGGAGTTGAAGGCCAAAACATCTGGGGACCCTCAGGTTGAGAACCACAGACCTATTACAATGCAGCCTGAGCCCTGCCACATGCACAATGGAGGGCCTTCTTATAGCAACACCAGATGCACTCCAAGTGGCCAACTACTGTTCAAAGCGCATTTAGTATAATGCTAAGTTTTTAAACTTTGTGGTTTCTCAAATACATTGGTTCACTCCTGATATGATAAATAAATCAACTTGAAGACAACAAACAACAGGAACAAAGCAGTGTCGATGGTAAAGCGACTACTATACATTCTGAATAATTACATTCAATTACTACTATACATTCTGAATATTTATATTAAGTATCAGAAAGATGTAGCTAGCTATAGTTCATCATGCATAATGCTACTACATTCACGTCTCAGAGAAAGAGAATATATATGGACAATGCTGCTTGGAAGATTGAGGCTCACCAGCTGTTTTCTTGATATTTGACTATCCAGGACAGTGAAACTGTGTGACTTCTACTAGCCCAAAGCAAGTGGTAAGGAGGCCATCTTTGAAACTACAGGGTGTCCCAAAAGTCTCCATACATAGGTAAAATTAACAAACTCATATTACCGTATTACATCAAATTTAGGAGGTTCTTCTCAAAAATTGAGGCTCCAAAAAAGGGGTGTGTCTTGAAATGGATGGCGTCATAGAAGCGTGAGGTTTTTTTAGGTTCTTGCACTTTGCTGATGGCATTACCGTTTCAGTTTGAGAGTTATTATTTGTTTCATTTCTATACTGCTTTTCTCACCCTTGGCGGGACTCAAAGCGGTTCACAACATAAGAATGGCAAAATGCAATGCCTCACATAATATGAAATACATCACATATCTAAAATAAAATATAACTATGAATTAAAACCTTTAAAACTATAAAACATCGGAAACAGACATAAACAGTTCTCCCTAGTGCAGTGGCTGTTAACCTGTGGGTCCCCAAATGTTTTGGCCTTCAACTCCCAGAAATCCTAACAGTTGGTAAACTAGCTGGGATTTCAGGGAGTTGTAGGCCAAAATACCTGGGGACCCTCAGGTTGAGAACCACTGCCCTAGTAGTTTTGAAATGGGTGGTTTAAAAAGTATTCTGGTCTCCTTGAAAGAAGGGGTTTAAAGATGGTGCAGATCCCCTTGAAAGAAGGTTTAACTGTGCTGGTCTCCTTGAAAGATAGGATTTAATGATGATCCAGGTCCCCTTGCTTTTCTGAAATCGGAGCTCCAGGAAGGTATGTCTTGGAATTTAAAGTATTTTTTCTAAAACTGAAGCTCCTAAAAAGTGGGGTGCATCTTTGAATTGACTGAAACCTTTTTAGACATTTACATGAATCTGTTCACAATGTAATGTTTTAGTTGCACTGTTATTCAGAAAAAGGAAAATCCACCCATTTAAGCAAGCCTTGCAAATGCTGATTTGTTATCAGTAAATATCTAATTTTAAATGTTATATATATCTACGAGCTGTACCCTGGCCACGCGTTGCTGTGGCCTCAGAAAACAGGAATCCCGGACATGAAACAATCTGGGCTAGGGAACACCTCCCCACAAAGACTTCCTGTAGGAAGGAAGACGCCAGGCTTTTAAGCTGTAAGGGTTTTCAAAGGTTATGAAGGTAGGCAATATATGTGTATATGTATATGATATATATGTGTGCATGTGTATATATGTGTATATTTGTGTGTGCTTGTGTATATGTATATATGTGTGGTTTGCATGTGTATATATATATATATGTGTATGTTTATGTATGTGCATATGTATATGTGTGTGTATGTTATGTATGTGTATATATATGTGTGTATGTATATCTGAGTGCATATGTGTTTGTGTAGATATGTGCATATGTGTGTTGTTTGTATATGTGTGTAGGCCTTGGCTTACTTGGGCCCTCCAAACATTCTGGACTTCAGTTCCCACAATTCCTAACAGCCAGAACAGCATGGCTGTTAGGAATTGTGGGAGTTGAAATCCAAAATGCCTGGAGGGCCCAAGTAGGCCCAGGCCTGGAATATGAGATTTGTTACTGAACCTCTTTGGAGGCCTGTGCAGCCTCCTTCTGGCGTGGCTCCTCCTCCCTCTCTTCCCTTTCCCTCTCGCCTTCCTTGCCTGGCCAATGGAAAAGGTTTGATTGCTTCTTGGCTTCTTCTGTCCCTCCGCCTGTCCTTCTCCCTCTCCCTCCTCTCTCTCAGAAGACTCTCAAGGCTGCTTTTCAGAGCAGCTTTGCTAGGCTGTTCTGGCTTCTTGGCTTGGCTCCCGAAGCAGGGATGTGGCAGTCGTCAAGAAGAATGAGGCAGCTACGGATGGCTGTTTGTCTGGGGGCGGAGCTAGGTTTTGCACATGTGTGGTTTTTTTTTAAGAATTGTAAAGCTGTTTTCACAGGTTTGGGTTTTCTTTTTAAATTGTTGGTCATACCTTGCGGCATGAGAAGTTTGGGGGCCAAATTTGATGTCAGTTAGCCCCATTGTTTGTTTGTTTTTAGGCTACTAACGACGACCATTAGCTTTTTATATATTAAGATATACCCGGGAGTGTGGAAAAAATTCTCAGGCCAAAAGGGGTCACGAAAAAGCTAGGGAACCCAGAACATTTCTAGAGGGCATATTTTGTGAAAAATTGATAAATTGTGGACACTGGGGTCTTACTGTATTTTAAAGTAGTTTAAAATATCTGAAATGTCTATCCAGTGATGTGGAATACCTAATTACAATTTTCTTTGCAGAACAGCAATGACTTCTTTGAGGAAACTGATCAGAATCACACAGGATACTATTATTGTACAGGTGTCTTCAAAGTGAATTTTCCCCTGAAATGAAGAATATGGGTTAATGAGCCCCCAGGTATTGCTGAAAAGCAACTACCAGCATTTCTCACCTGGAGGATGCCGACCAATCTAGGAGGCTGCACAATTTCCATCACCACCTTGAAAGGGTTGGGGTAATTTTTCCCAAGATACCCATTGGTTTCCTCTCTATCTTTCCATCCCCCACGTTGCCTGACTCATTCTGACAATGCATCTGTCTGTCTGTCTGTCTGTCTGTCTGTCTGTCTGTCTATCTATCTATCTATCTATCTATCTATCTATCATCTATCTATCTAATGTAGGCCACATATTTGTTCGTAAAATATCCACTAAATAAATGGAGTAAAATATTACATTAAATGGAACAAAATCCCCATTAAATACTATATTAAATGGAAGGCCCAAAACATTTTCTCCTCAGTTTCCAAACTGTTCCACTGTTTGTTTTAAATCAAAGGAAGTGTTTAACTTTCAACTCTTTCCCTATATCTTGCAGTTTTTTATAACATATGTCAGCAAGAAGATTTTACAACAGGCAGAAACATTTGTCTTTGAAGTTTTATTACAAAAATATATTTGCAAACATACAAAATTTTTAATGAAAAATGTTCTCTCTTAAACATTTATGCAATAACTTAATATTTGCCAACGTAATAAGATGGCACAAATCACATATCCATATACTGAAATGTTAATGATGCATTATGGTGACAGTTAAAAAGTAGCTCAAAAACCACTGGGCATAAATCTTTCTGGCAGAGGTTCAGCATCAACACTTTGAAGATTCAAATAGGAACAATATATTCTTATGCCCAACTATCTGATCTACAACTGTGCAAACAATTTGCACCACTTAAAATAAAAAGCTGCATAAGAGTCCACTTACCCCAGTGGTCGCTAGAGCTTTTTTTTTTCTGAGTCTCCCACAAAACTAGGGTTCTTTTGATCTTAAATAATTCTTCAGGTGTGTATGCTATACCTTTGAAAAATGCCATGCCCATTCTTTCCGATTAAGCTATTGCTTAAAACCTCAAAGATCTGAAGCAACCCAAACTTTAATATGTACGTGAGTGCAAATTAAAGCAGAAAACCCAAACATTGAGTATAGTAGTGTGCATTTTTAAAAACAAAGAACCACCATGTGCTCACAATGTTAAATTGATACAAAAACAAATCACAAGGGGAAGATTATTGCAATTGTTTTCCCACTTAAAAGTGAAGATATTGCATCCTAACATTTTCACAAAGATGGCAAAAATTGAGGTGAAATATATATTGCACACATTCCTCTTTAAGATATGCTTTAAAAAGCAACTCAGTAGCCAACAAGTGGCTGGGTTTTTTTTTTGTGTGTGTCCAAATACTCCACATGAAATACTCTACCCGAACTGTTTCTCAAAAACTATGCCTTACCTAGATGGCATTGGTGGGTTCCATGAATGCACCAACCCAAGAAAACTCAAAATCTAGGCAACAGTAGAAATTAGTATGTTGGTAGTATGAATAAATTCCATCTCATAACAGAAAATCAATGTAAGCTGCCCTTCCATTTTGTATTGTGCCATAGATCTTTGCAGATTAATTTATGTAAGGTCTGCCACAAATATATAGCCATTAGGCACATCTTTGAAATACTATTAAATAGTTAATGGAGCAGTTGTTAGAACCTTGACCTATAATACAGCAATCCGTTTTTGAATAAGCTGCATGTTTTAAAGCCACTTTTGAGTAGACAAATATTAAGTATTTTAACAAAAAGCTGCATATAGATAACAAAAAATACATGCTTAGATAGTGAATAGTCATTTGGGGATATAGTCTAAAAATACCATCCACTTTGAAGAAATGCAGAATGCCTTACCAAAAGATTTCAAATGAAATGGCTCAAGTTGGTTCATTACACATTTGGTACTATTGCATGCAGGTAACAAAACTAAAATGTGTTGTTACAGATTCAAACTTAGACTAAAAAAAGTTAAGGTTAACCAGACTAAAGCTGTCGGGTCATTTCTACATTTTGTAAACATTTGGAACTTTCGCGCCAAGTTTGTTTTCCAAAACAATGCTTAAAAGGTTTTTCATTACTTTTAGTCACATTACGGCAAGCAATAAGAGCACTCGTGTGGTACATCAAATGTTGCTAACAGTGCTTTGTATGGTGTAGTACAACTGTTTCCCCACATAAATGCTGTAACATTGATGTGCGTTAAATTCAAGATTGAAACAAACCTGTAATCAAAAAATAAACTTTCATTATAACTTCTAGCTAAGGACATTCTCTTTGGGAACAGAGACCTATTTCTTGATATTGTACATGCCTCTAACACTTGAGAACTCTGATCTGCCAGCTACTGACTGAGGTTTCTAGGGAATTAAAATGCAAAATGGTAAATAGAAGTATAAAGTGTACTGAGAAAAACAACTGGAAATGTCAATGAAGTATTCCCTTTCATATTAACTTTGAAAACATAGGACAGTAACAGTACATTCAGTATCAGCAAAATCTTTACAGTTTCACTTCTATATGTCTTTGGATATAATGCCTGTTTGAAAGGCTGTGAATCAATTTTAGTTCTTCATTATCACTGTGCCTAACTTGCTCTTTCACCACCAATCTTCTTCATGGTTGAGAAGTATCTCTTTTCCCATTCAGAATAATTACCAATAGCTAAGTGCTTGCCATCCAAAAATGAAGCTTGGTATACATTTGGTTTGGGGGGGGGGGGAGGGTATGGTAATACAAACACTTGCAATGTACTGAAAAATAATGAGTGGCTTTGAGTCCACTGGCACTATCCCAAAAAAGCTAAGGAACAGGCTATTTAAAATGAGCAAGCATTTCTTGCTGATACGTAAATATGGGTGATTTGCTAAATGTCCAGCATACAAATAGACAGTTCTCACATTTCCTACAAAAAGTCTAGAAAGCCTGAAAAGACATGTTTAAATCTCACCATTAAAGCCAATATATTGGTTGAATGTTCATGTCACTACTAACACATTTCCCTGAATTCTGCACTCTTCCAATATAAAATACTATGTTTATATAACTAGAAACACTGAGTTCAAAGGCTGAAGAGGTTCTCTCCAAAGGCAGTTTGCTAAACATAAAAACATCCACCTAAAATCACTTAAATCATTTTGACGCATTAAAAAAATCAACATGCACTATTTATATCAAAACACTGATTAATGGTGGAGCTATGGGATAGAAATATAAAGACGACCTATTCAAACAAATATCTGATTTGTTAGCCATCACTTATTTAGTGTCACTGACTGCAATGTGTCTATTCTAGTTGGGGTTAAAACTAAATTTAGCACAAAAATTGTTTGATGAAGTAAATAAGATCTGGATAAAGACACTGCCACCATTCCCCCAGTTAAATCTGTAAGAGTAATATATATATATTCTAATTCAATATGTTTCCATTGTAAACTCTCAGTAAATAAGGGTTTTTTGAATCCCTATGCATTTGAATGGCTTGGATAGGAAAGTTCTTATAACAGAGAACCAAAACGATGTTCTTCCACCATTTTATCAGTGCCCTGAAACATAAGCAGTGCAGGTTAACTGGACTACAAAATTTCTTTTAAAAATATTAAACCAAGATATTACTACCAAGAGACAGAAAAGAGTAGCCTTTAACAATTACTATTGCTTGAATAAATTGAAGTCTATGTTATATTAGAGTATTGCTAGCTACTATTACATGCCATAATGAAATAAATACTAGTCATGGAGAGACCCATAGCAGCATATAAAACGAATGGAGATCAGAATCTGACTTTCTTTGTGAAGAAGTTTGATCTTTACAGCAGTTTAACAGTGAAATATTAACCCATATCTGAAAATAGCTCATATCTGGAAAAAAATGGGGAGAATCTAAGACCACACTTGTCCATGTAACACCACCTCTTGAATGAATTACACACACCTCTCTGGAATCAGTCCATCCTTTATAGAGGAAAACCCTCTTCAACCATTTGTACTTACACAGGGGAGGATGACTGGGTAAAGCAACCACAATGATGTTCTATCCATTCATGTTTAAAAACTATTTGTTTTAAAACTGTACCACTACCAAAAACACCACACTAAAGATATCATCACAGGTACATTTTCACCTAGTTTTCATACTGCCTTAGTAAAAGAAAATGGAATATGCATATTAGCTCTGCATTCTGTGGAAATCAGTCAGTAATACCCTAAGGCCCTCCAGTTATAAGGCTAAAAGCAGAATTTTTGCATTGCATATCCATTATTTTCCAAAGCCCTACAGTTACCTGTATGTTGTAAATTAGCAGCTGGTTTCAGAACTCTTATTTTCAATGTAATGCAAAAAAAAAAAAATCATTTGTACTAAGTATTCCGGTGTCTTTGTGTATGTGTAAATTAGTACACTTTCACATTACACAAAGCCATGAAAACAAATGTGCTGAAAAGACCACTTTTCCTATACAGAAATAAAAGCCTGCTGGTGATTTGTCACAGTGAAACCTATATCACTTCTGCGAACATTACTCATCTAATTCTTCTAAATAACAAGCTATATTAGGAAGCTAAAACCAAGAGTTCCAGAACTAAAAACAGTCTCCAAAAAGAGTACAGGTTTACAGATGAGGCATAATTGTTTCTGAAGCAGATATGCGATCCAGTAGAGTTGAATTCACAACGGTTATAACTTGATGCTGTCTGCATTCTTGGTCAAAACTTGTAAATAGACTTCATGAAGAGTACTGAGAAAATTCTCATCGTTCTGCAAGGGAAAATGAAGAATTTGAGGAGATCAGTACAAAAAATCATAACAGAAAGAAGGGAAGAGAAAGGAATGAAAACAAATGGAAGAAGAAAGAAAAAGAACAGAAGAAAAAAGAAAGAAGAGGGGAGAAGGTGTATGAGGGAAAGGGTGGAAGAAAAAAAAGAACCATAACTAAAATGCAAACATAGGCAATACAGGCTACATACATTAATCTATTATGAAATAACAAATATATTATGCCACAAAACAAAAGGAATGAGAAAACCCTAAGGATATACAGACATTTCAGCTGAGGAGAAAACAAATAGAATACCGCAACAAGACCATTTTTCTGTTTAGTCTGTTCACTGAGTTTTGTTCTGACAATTAGCCTGTTTGTTCTGTCTGTACTTTTTCATGTCTCTACAATGTCAGCTGAATAATTTAAGCCACAATAATAATTATCTTTGTTACTAACTTTTCTGATTTCCTTTTGGGAAAAGATATCTGTGTATTCTAAGCTGGCAATCCCAGGCCAATATATTAATGACAACAGAAAAAAAATTGTTTGGTTTTTATGGGTCTCACGATGCTTATTACACTAAACATAATTGCCATTTTCCCCAACAACCTTTGCATTACAAAATGTGTTCTCAGGGCCACTAGCAGGAACCTGAAAGTTTGACATGATTTTAATTACAAAGTAAAATTTCTGACAGCTCAGCTCTGTTCACAGTATTTTTCCTTCTCACTTCATAGTCAGCAAGTTCCTTTGTTATTCGCATGGTTCTGCCAGGGAAAAAGAAATAACAGGTTGTGCAGAAAAAAATCTGACAAAGAAACAAAACATAGGCCACAAAGCTGATTTTATGACCTAGTAAGGGGCCCATTTCAGCCCTAACAATTCTATTATCAAAGTAGTATGTTTTCATGTCCTGTTATTTTCAGATCTCTACTCTGTATGCAGAGCAAGACTCACTGCTATCAGTGTAGAAAGTACCAGAATGTACTGATGTAGCACAAAGGTTTGTGAACTGGGGGTAGCAGAGAGGACAAAACAATCCTCTTAATACAAGCCTGTTCTTGGTGTAAGATTTTTCTCTGTGATTTTCTGGATTTACTGACACACTTATAAAGCAAACATGAAAGTATAATTGAGAAGCATCCTTAAATATTTCAAATTTGCCAAGTTTCTTTTGATTTCCAAACACGAATGGCAAACCTAATGCTGCGAACTCAAATATTTCTAAAAAGAAAAACAGGGTAGCCATTCAAGTCTAAGGAAAATCACAAAAAATTGTATTGGGTTTACATCTTTATTAGGGCATGAGATTTGCCAGCAAATCCCCCTTTTTTGTTTTTGTTTCAGGGTCTTGAAACTGAGGTGCACATTAGATTTGATGGCACACTTGGTAAAGGTTGTCCCCTGACATTAAGTCCAGTCATGTCTGATTCTGGGGTGTGGTGCTCATCTCCATTTCTAAGTCAAAGAGCCGGTGTTGTCCATAGACACTCCAAGGTCATGTGGCTGGCATGACTGCATGGAGCGCCGTTACTTTTCCGCCGGAGCAGTACCTATTGATCTACTCACATTTGCATGTTTTCGAACTGCTAGGTTGGAAGAAGCTGGGGCTGACAGCGGAAGCTCACGCCACTTCCCGGAATCGAACCTGCGACCTTTCGGTCAACAAGCTCAAAAGCTCAGTGCTTTAACCCACTGCGCTACCAGGAGCACACTAGATTTGAGTAAATATGGCAATTAAACTGAGAGCTGAACAGGAGTAAATGATTTCAACAGTAAAAAATTTGGAAATTGTATCTTTGAAACTAGCCTGAAACATATTTGTGGTTTGCTCTTCTGCACCATACAGAGAAGGGCAAATTATCAAAACTGAATATGAGCTCTCATATTCTAAGTTACAGATGATACCTTTATTAGATGTATTAAAGTTTCTTGAAGCTGAGATCTACTAAGAGCTGTTGGAGGGAATGCCTGAACATCTACTGCTCCAAGGGCAGGTGGAGAAGAGGAACAAACTTTGCTTTCAGTTTCAGATGATTTCAAAGCTGACTGCTGGAACATACTTGGTGACAAGAGGACTGAGGGCACCACTGTGGTTGTAGCTGCAGCAAACTGTGGAGAAGCAACCTGCAAAGGAAGGGGCCAATGTACATATTAAAGTCATTGCCTGTATACCTTTATTAAGAGTCCCTTCTAATGTTACTTCAGCAGCATATGTTCATCATTATGGCACATATCCTATTTTTGTAACCTGAGAACCCCAGTCTACAATCCAATAAAGCAATAATGTACTTCCTTTTCGTGTCAGCTTTGTCTAAGATACAGGAGAATGGCATATGAAATGGCTCATTGCTGGCTTCTATTGCAGAGCTTTCAGAACTGTATGTTGCGACACATTAGTGTATCACAACATATTTGTGTGTCGGCTGCAGTAGGTGTGTTGCTTGAACGTAATGAGAAACCTGAGGCTATGTGAAATAAGCAAGAAATCATGTATTTTTAAAATTAAAAATGAAAGGTTTTCATGAGATGTTGTGTCCTCATATATTTCATTACTGCTATTTATGTATGTCTTATAAGGGGTTGGTTTAACCTCTGATTTACTAGTAAAACTGGATTAGTATGTGTGAAATAGTGCATGTTTAAAAATGTGTCACCAACATAAAATGTTTGTAAAGCTCTGCTCTAAAGTAATTTGGTTCTTTTGCTAGTACCGGAATGGGGGAAAAACATGCCACACTGACTGCCAACCAGAATAAAAGACAGCATTGGTTTAAGTGATTTATGGCTGAAATACCATTACAATCAATAGGATTACAGCAAATTTTTGTGTATGCCTTGGAGCCCATCCCAGAAGAAAGGCAGGGCACAAACCCAATAAATAAACTAGTAAATAGAGAAATGAATAAATACAGGAAACAACTAATGAATCCATACTAATCAAAGTTTCATTTTAATGTAGTTCAGAGATATGTCTCATTAATAATAATATGGGCATTATAGCTGTTGGCTGTTTCTTGGCTTCCTTATAAAAACATTCTGAATTACATTGAAAAAATGAAAAAGGACTAAAATATGCTTTCGAAAAAGTAGGGAATGTTTAAAAAGTTATCAAAGGTAATCGCTAACTGCATTCTTATTTTATACAGTTAAGGGCAAAATTTGTAAATATTCCCATTCTGTCAAGATTTGGAAATCTCAAAAAAAAAAAAAAAGCAAGAAAAAAGCATATTTGAAGATGCTTCCCACCATCTCAGTTATGTATGTCAACATTATAGCAACACAAACTGCTTGAGAACATGCCTTCTTCTCACTTTTACATTGGTTCCGTCCTTGAGGCCAACCAGAAATGCCCCTTTGGCAGCCCTGAGGCCTGTTCCCCTGCTGTTTGGAGCAGTACATTCAGCAAGATGTCCACAACTGTCTGGAATCCCCTTGATACTAAGCCTGTTCCAAGAATTCTCATTTTTATGTACATTTGGGAGGGATGACGGTATTTTGTTGGGCAGTTTTTTAATTCTTAAAGATAGCACAAATTTATTTCATGGGAGAAGAACTCAAGAATAGCTGTGTTAGTCTGGAGCATCAGTATACAAAAGGACCCTGTAGCACCTAACAGACTAACTGAGAGAACCAAGTTGGTAGCGTAAATGTTTACAGACGAATCCTAAATCCTTAGATGTACCTTAGATAATGCTAGCAACTTTGTTTTCTCAGTCTTCAAAGGCCTATGAGATCCCTTTGCGTATCGTTTTTATGGTTGTTGCTCACCACTTTAAAATATTTAGATGTAAGTGGCTATTTAAATAAATACCTATTTATTTATTTATTTCACATATTTGTAGCCCGCCCTTCTTATCCCCAGAGAGGGACGAAGGGCAGCTTCACAACAGGCATTTATTCAATACCAACAACAGCAATAAATGACAAAAGCAATTAAAACAATTCTTTAATCCTTTAAAATTACTAAAATGTTGTTTAAATCATGCAGATTTGAAATTGTAGTCCAGGTCAGTCCATTATCATTCAGACAAATTGGGTCTCATTCCAAATTACTTTCTCTACTGTTCGAATGATTGGTCCCATAGCCAGGTTTTGAGTTTCATTCTAAAGAGTAAGAGGGAGAGGGCCAATCTAATGTCACTGGGTAGAGAGTTCCACAGGCAAGGGGCCAGCACTGAGAAGGCCCTGTCTCTTGTCTCCACCTCGCGTTTGTGAGGATGGTGGGACTGAGAGAAGGCCTCTCCTGTCGATCATAGACTTTGTGATGGTTCATAGCATGAGATACGTTCAGACAGGTAAGCTGAGCCAGAACTGTTCAGGGCTTTATAGAAATAAATAACATAAAGTAATAGCTACACACACATACAGACTTGCATCAAGTTGCTCAAGAGGGGAGAAAGCAATGTGTTAAAATCATAGAATCATCCAGTGGGATGGCAATGTAGTTATGTGAGGATTTATATGCATACCTGGTTTCCTTTTGACAAAGCTTTGTGATGTGGAAATGTTTCAAGCTCCTTGTTTTGCTGAGTAACCTATACATTAAAAGAGAAATAAAATAATCCACAAACAAGAGCTTGCCTCTCTCATATATAGCTTTGATCTCACATTTTCATACTAGATATGGGGCATTATGATGCTACAAGTCATACATTAAATAAAATACATCTGGTGTCCTCAAAACCTAACTAAATAGTGAAAACCATTTCCTATTGCCTTTACTGTAGTTCCTCCTTCCAAAGATTTTGTTATTATTCTCCTCTCTATCACTGGTTTTATAGTACTGTAAGGCTCACTGTCTAAGTGCCTGGCTGCTTCTTGACTGCAAACCTGTGCATGTCCTGCATCAGATGTATTTATTCAATCCACTACTATTATTTGTTTCAGAAACATTTGTTATGATAGCCAATTAGACAATCTTATATTCTTCTGACACATTCACAATTTTCAAATAAAATCTTCAAATGCCCAATCTCATTAAAATTATGCAACTGGAGCAATCAAAAAGTATTATAATCTCAAATCAGTCACAAAGTTAAGACAGAAATCGTGCAGACTCTCTTCAGTTCAAGAAAGATCACAATGTGATGGCATGAGGGCCATGGCTATCAAATACAGGATTTACAGAAATGCTTTTCAGCAGGTTAAAACATTAGTATCATCATCATCATCATCATCATCATCATAAAAAAAAATCAGACCTATTAACCAACAAATTACCTGCACAGATGGAATAATTTTACCAGTCAGTGGCTGCTGCTTGTTGTGGGATTCCTTGAAACAATCTGGTGTTGCCAACTGACTAATGGCAGATGAAGAGCTTGGTGCTACTGGGGTTTTATTAAGTGACTGCTGTATTTGATCATGCTGAGAGGTCAACCTGAGTTTCTGAAGAAGATCCATATTTGGAAGTGGTGTGTTTGATGTGTCTCCTGTATTTGTTGCAGACAAAGATGTTACAAACTGGCTTTGAACAGGAGTTCTATTTTGTGGACTGTGATTCATATCAGACAATGATTGATTCACAAGTGGAGGTACCTGCTTGGCTGCTTGCTGCATCACTTGCATTATGTTATTGTTTGTACTCATGCTCTGAAGCATATTTGCACATGGAGTTTCTGTTGCCACGGCTGAATTAACTATAGGGCTTAGCTGCCCAGTATAGCTTGAAGCTTTATTTACTTCAGACTGGGAAACAGAAGGCGAGGCAATTAGCAAGGGTGGCATGCACTCCAGTGGCAGTAAGGTAGAAGCATTACTTCTGAAGCTTGGGCAGTCCAGCTTTCCTATAGGCTGATGGATTACGGTTGATTGTTCAAAGGAAAAAGGTAGAAGTAAACTGTGCTCTCTACATGAGGTGTCAGCCTTCTCTGTTCTCTCTGGATTACAACAGGGAACTGCAGATTGTTCCTTTGGTAATGAAGTTCCGAATAATTCTTCCACTGTTAGATGTTTAGGTATGGATTGACATGGCTGGGAAAGAAAAAGATCAGAAACTCACATTTGGTGTATTATACATTGATATGGCTCTTGTACTTCTTTTTATACACACAAGTGTTGAGAGCACTAATAATTACACTGCTTCTAAAGTTTGGGAATCATCTAAAGAGTATATGATCTATGAGAGCGTAATGCTTTGCCATTGGTATAATTATAGTTACATGAAGTACTGATCAGTGTGAAGTATACACTGATGGGACTGAGTTCACATACAATTCCTGAATTCCAGCTGTTTCTCTGCTTTTTATACTTAAATCTGCAATTATATTTAAAGAATCAAGAAAATTATGAGCCATAAATCCATTTGTCCCAATATAGTAATTATTCCCAATGATATGCTTTAGCCGATTTGCGCACACATCATCCTAAGGCAAGATATTCCAAGTGGAGTTGTTCAATTCTTTAAACCTTAGCCAGAGAGGGAAAACATCACAGCCAAAGCAAACACCTTCTGCCCTGTTGCTTGGAATTGTTTGAAACAGAAATCAGTTCTTACTCCAAATGTCACAATTGCAATAGTCAGAAAACATTGAGGAGAATATTCTAGTCTGTTAGCTTCCTAGTACTGAACAAAATGCAACAAATACAAATATTGTAAATGGATAAAGCTTTTGAAGCAACCAATCCAATCCCAATTAGGTTTCACTTAAAACTCCAGTTCAAATAAAGACTTCATAAAGGAGTACCATGACCATATCTGTCCTCACTAGCCTACACCAACAGCCTAAAAAACTGTTGACACCACCTCTGATTGAACATATCAATTTAACAACAGAAATACCTGGGGAACAGGAGAAGTCCCATTTCTAGGAGATTCCCTGAAAGAAAGCTGTGCATCACTCTCTTCCTTCCACCAGGTGGTACCACTTGCAGGCACAAATTATCCTACAGATGTGATCACCATTTTATTTCTTGCAACCCACTATGCAATGTATTATTTATTCTTTGGATTTTTGTCTCACTTCTCAGCCAAAATTTTATTTTGGCTAAACCAATATGATATGCATCATATTTGTCAGTAAGATCGTATAATATCAGGGAAAATGCACAATCTAAAATCAGCAATAATTTTATTAAATTAGACATGCAGTTTTCTTGCAGACAATCGTCAAGAGGTATCTCCCGTCATCCCTACTCTTATAACAAGTATAACTAACAGCAAAATCAGGGTGAATTAGCTCTAATGTTCACAGTAATTTTCTGTATTTACAACACAGAAAGCTAGGAAAAGTGTACACATGGTTCTCCTGTTATATTTTCTATCTTAAAAGCTTGACAGAAAAGTCCCAATCTAATACATTCCATCAACACGTTCCTGTCTAACACATCAGACCAGCCACCTTTCAACAAATAATATTATTGTTTAATTAGAAGAATTAAAACCTACAAAGGAAGAACAAATAGAGAAATAGAATAATGGGAATAAATGTATATCCACATTAGATATAATTAGATATAACCCAACTTACATGGTCTTGCATTAATAGCATCGATAACCCATGCTCCGAAGTCTCTGCGTTTTCGGCCTTTGTGGAATTTATACTTTCTCGTGTCACACTGATTAAATCACCTTTCTGGTTCTAGAAAATAAAACATATTAATGCCTCTGATTCCTGTACAGACAAACAACTTTTAGAATACTTTTTTGTCTCATTCTTCTCTTCTTTCCTTCCACACAGCAGCTTTTCATAAAGGGAAAACTATACAATACTGTGGTATCAGACCATATGGTTACTGAATAGTCCTGTCTATGTTTTGAGTTATAAAATATCTTGATGAAGGAAAGGTCAGGATTGCTATGTAAAACTACAGTTTTCCAATCTGCCCACTCAGCTAAACAAGGGATGTACTCCTGGTTTGTTATGCAAATGAATGAAAAAGGTTTTTTTCCCAATCCACTATTAAGTAGGAAGCATTTTTTCTTAAGAGATTATTAACATTTTTCACTTGCATACCACCATGGTTTGTGCAAAACAATTACAAAATCAGCTTGACCTCAGTACAATTGTACATCCAATTTGAATAAACACATTGAATCAATGGAATTCATGTTAGTATTTATATCTCAAATTTCCATTGACTGAATGGGTCTGTTCGGGTTAGAGCTCAAAATTGGGCTTAGACCTTTGTGCTCATAATGATTGCCAAGCATCACGCAAGTGTACTAAAAGCACTAAAATAAAATGATGATTCAGCTTCATGGTTCAGGTGATCTGTCACTTTCATTTTTTTGACTATGCTATTTATGATGCAATCATGTCAAGGGAACTCAAGTTCACAGGAAAATGCATTCTTTACCTTACATTAGAATATCTTGAGGAATAATAATCAAAAGCTAACGATCAAAGAAAGAGAAATATATTGCAACAACTGTAAAGTTTGCTAGTAAAAGGAAACTTATGATTTCACTTCCATTTCTAGTGGCTTTTAAATACATTTTAAATAGACATTTTTAAAAATATTTTACATATTTAAAATGCAATGCATATATGGTTTCTGGTGCTTTAACGGGTTTGTCTTGCAACAGACAGTGCCTTAATGTTGTCTTCCTATTTAGACTATTTACAGTCTAGACTGAAACTCCTTGAAAATTTTGTGATCTTCAAATATTTTCCTTGTGTATAATTCCAGGTTGTGATACTGTTATTCTCTTTTTGAGGACAAAAGGGAGAAAGCCCCTTAAGAAAATACAACCAAATACATTCATTTTTACATATGGACTGCATGCAGAAAGTACTTGAAGGATTATACTGATTTACAATCCTGGATTAAATCACCCAGGCCTTTACAAATGTATTTTCTTGCTTCTGCCCTGCCCATTTCTCATACTGACTCTCTCACAGTCTCCTCTCAGCTGCACAGCAGGATTACTTTAAGATCCATCTGGAACATACTAGACAGATTTTGTCAAAGGTGATCTCTAGTTTTAACAGCAGTGGCTTTGGGCACCCTGCTCCAGCAAGAGGGCAGCTGTCTGCCTCTCTCGCATGGTATTTCGGAACCTCCATCTTTTTATACCCACCGTATAAGATGACCCCCAACTTCTCAAAGGATTTTCCAGGATTAAAAAGTCATCTCATATACCAGAAAATACAGTAAATTTGGTCCAGAGCTTGGAAAATTGCATTTTATAGCAAAATAATGCATATTCTCAGGATATTTTTTCAATTTCTGTAAAATTAGTTCAAGAGAATTTGATACATTTTGGAAATAAGCTCCACAATTGTGAATTTTTACTAGGTTCCAAATAGTGGGACTAAATATTCCAAATAGTGATTGTAGCTTAAAATGTGTATGTCTTTAAAAAGCAGGGCTATTACCAAAGTGTCACGCTAAAAAGGAGTTAATATTATGTATTAACTCCGTGTATTATCATATGAATTAGTGACCCAATTTTCAGTCTTTGTCACCAGCATTTCAAACAGAGGGATATCTATCTATACTGCAACCTAGGTACTGCCCACTATGTGTCAGTGGGTACCTGACACATAGTGCTGGAAGAAGCAAAGACCACCAGCATTGAAGCAATGGTCCTCCAACATCAACTCCGCTGGGCCGGCCACGTTGTCCGGATGCCTGACCACCGTCTCCCAAAGCAGTTGCTCTACTCCGAACTTAAGAACGGAAAACGGAACGTTGGTGGACAGGAAAAGAGATTTAAAGATGGGCTCAAATCCAACCTTAAAAACTCTGGCATAGACACTGAGAACTGGGAAGCCCTGGCCCTTGAGCGCTCCAGCTGGAGGACAGTGCTGCAGAATTTGAGGAGGCACGAGTGGAGGGTGAAAGAGAGAAACGTGCCAGGAGGAAGGCGCGCCAAGCCAACCCCGACCGGGACCGCCTTCCACCTGGAAACCAATGCCCTCACTGCGGGAGAAGATGCAGAGCAAGAATAGGGCTCCACAGCCACATACGGACCCACAAGGAAATCCATAATGGAAGACCATCTTACTCGTCCAACGAGGGATCGCCTAAGTAAAGTAAGTAAGGGTACCTGGTCTGTCACTTCAGGTTCTGACAGACCAGAAAGCTACATTTCGTAGTCTTAACAGGAGCATCCCCTTTCCTATTACACTCTTTATGGAGATAAGACATATGCACTGTAGTAAATAGGATGGCAGACAAAAATCTACTTAATTAATACTTCTGAATTGGCTATGGAGAAATATCTTTTGCACCACATCAGCAGACTCTCTCAGATGGTAATCTGTATTTTGGAATATGGAGGACAGATCTCTTATGATGTCCAACAGTCAGGTGATAACATTAATTTTTATCACATTTATTTGATCCTATATGCTTATGGAAAAGGAACTATACCGCAGTACAACTGGTACAGTCGTACCGTTGTCAAGTTGCTTTTTGATACTAAAATTCTTGGTAATGGTGCCAGGACAATTATCTTGCTTGGGAGAATTCATATCTAATAGCAATAGTTCTGACCTTCCATTTGATAGAAAATCCTGATATGAGTCTGAACTCGTCAATTAGAGAAACACAACAGAAAACATTTTGGTTCAATCCCAGATAAATGCTTGTATGCCACCCACATATAAAGTCAATTCAAAGAATAAAGTGCTTTAAACTTTGATGGGATGGGGCACAAAGTTTGAAACCCTTCATTATTTAATAGCACGAGCAAGTGACTCCAGAGACAAAATGAAAAGAGCTGGCAGGGGAGCAGACGTCACCATTGTACATCTCTCTGCAACAACGAAGGCTGTGAACAAACACAATTTCTTTCAAGCTGGGAATCAGGTGTAGTATAAGGAATATCTGTATTTCAAAGTAATGGCCACAAAATAAAATGTCAAAGCTTAGAGCACAGTCCTCAATTGCTTCCCACCCAACGCCACCCCCCCCCCCCTTCCAAGAAAAATGGAACTGGCAAAGTCCTCCTCACAATTTTCAACCAATACTATTAAACTAGAGACACCACAACATTTTACAAGCCATGGTATTCATTTTTTAAAATTGCAGTAAGTCATTTTAGACAAATTTAAGTATGCCCAAAATTGCTGTTCTATGGTAGTTGAAAGCCCTTAACCTTTTACATCATGATTCAACATCCCCTCAAGCATTTTAAGACTGAAGAGTATTCCCAGACGATGGTGATTCATTGCTTGTTTCTGTTTTGCTCAGTCAGTTTGGGTAAGGAAATATACAATGTGTTGAGAATGCACCCTTATGCTATGCTTGGAAAGAATTACTGAGAACTTTTATGTTACAACCTTTCCTAGGCTATCTGTAATATAATCAGATTTATAAAGAGTAAAAAGCATATTGAATAGAATGTTTAAAGCAGTATACGGCTGGCATTTATCCTACTCTTTGGAAAGACGGTATCTGAGATTGATATTAACCTTTTTAAAGACAGATTATGTTCAAGATGAAACAGTGATGGAAGTCTGGATATTATGTTTTTCAGAGAAATAATCCAAAACAGTTGCATTTTACTACAGTGTCTTACTAGGAAAGAGAAAAAAAATGTTGAGAACGGTATGAAATATTGGAATTCACTGTGAACAGTCATACTAGGAGGGCTAAAGAAACAATCCATGGCAGAGATTGCCTGCCAGCTGATCAAGTCAGAAAATCAAAGTTTTAAATCCATGTCATCTATTGACTCTTCCCCCTCCCCCCACACCTTGTCGGTGTTGATACATTCCTATGCTCACCAACACCATAAGCCTTAAAGATAGAAAGTATTACTAAGAAGAATAAGACAAACCCTCTATCCAATATTTAAAAAAATGGTAGCCACTGTGTGAGGCTAGACCGCTTCTTCTTTAGACTTTCTAGACTGATCATTCAAGATAAATGTCAACCTCTTATTCTCCCTAGGATTGAAAGAACAATCTATAACTAGTGGGGTATACTGAAATCCCATTTATGGAAGTGGTTGCTGTTGTTCTGAAGCACTGCTTGTAGGCCAATACTTTGTAGTGTTAATTTTGTAGTGCCTAACAAATGTTGAAGTCTCTTTCCAACTTGCTGCATTACACACATATTTTAGCAAGAAAAACATCAAAGTCACTGTTGTTTGCCATAGATCTTGTAGAATGAACCCCCAGCTATTGAGGTTGGGAGTATAGGGAAAATGTAATATAGATTACTACAACCCCATATCTACGTAGTTTGAAATCATCAGCTTTGCTGCTCTAAGTTCCAGTGTCTTGGACGTATGTTCACTGCTCTCCTGACACCCAAAAATCACACAATCATGGAATTATAGAGTTGGAAGAGACCACAAGAGCTATCCAGTTTAACTTCCTGCCATGCAGAGGTATACAATCAAAATACTCCCAATAAATGGTCATCCAGTCTCTGCTCAAAAACCTCCAGAGGAGGAGACCACCACACTTCAGGGTAGCCTATTCCACTGTCTAACAGGTCTTGTCGCCAGGAATTTTTTTCCTAATGTTCAGACAGAATCTCTTTCATATAGAAGCTTATTCTACAGAAGCTCATTGTGACTGTCACTTTGCTTTGCAGTACAAATAAAATTCCTTCATCTAGGATGTTTGATCTACCAATTCAAGTATTTCTTTACAGTAACTAGTAAGGTCAGATCTGAGATGACATCTCATTACAGAGTACTGAGGATGTCTCAGGAAAAGCTGCAAGGTCCTTTTATGAAATCTTGTCCAAATATATTAACTGCATTGTGGAAACTAACATCCCCATCATGCAATAAATCTGCTGACCTTATTTTCAAACCTCATTTTTAGTTCTTCTCCACCACCTCTTTTAAAGTCATGTCCTGAAGCTCCTCTTGTCTCAGAGAGCATTTGCACACTTAGAGTCAGGTACTTCTTAAAATATTTTTTCTCTCCCAATTATTGTCTTTTTTACTCTTCTTCAATGAGCTTTCAAACATTTTTATGTTTACTATTTCTGATAATTGTTTATTTTTGCTACAGCTCACTTTCACTGAATGAATTAAACAGTCCTCTTAGAATTGACTCCGAAGGTCTGTTTACAGACTTCCTCCACAATCTTGTTCTTACTATTTCTTAATCTATGACCTGCAAACATGGAGTCAGAAAAGTGTTGGGCATTGATTCACTTTTTGTTTGCTAATATCATTTTTCTGAAGGGAACCGGGACTCATGTATATCACCATCCAACTCTTGCAGCTTTCATTTTCCCCCCTTAAAACACTGCTGTCTGTTGATGCCATTTGCTCTACTTTAAACATGGAGTAGAAACTAATTCGAGAATAGAAAGAGAAGAGTGTAATGTAAGGCAAGAAATTAAAAAGGGATGAGGAAGGGAGAAGTCAATTGATGGAATGGACTTCTGTCTTAATCAGGTGACACAAGGGATTAACCCTTGAGTTGTGGATTGCTCCTTCAGCTTTACTGAGAATGGATACATCAAGCAAGTAAAAACTGAGAAACGACTATCCCAGCATATTAGAAAGAAACAATATTACAATTTAGTCTAGATTTAGTCTAGATCTTATTAAAATACACAATAATAATCATCTGTTTTTAGATGCTAACATGCATTTGCTTACCCGTTCATATTCAACCTTGGCTTTGCTTAGCATCTCTAGAATATCAGTGCATCCATTAATCCTACTGATATTTCCTCTATCCTGTTGGGATCTTTGTGTTTCTTCTTGTACTACTCTGCAGGGGAAAACAAGATTGCAAATGTTTGGAATGCATTAAAATATGTAGCAACATGTATCATTCACTGAAACATGGTGCTATGATTGCATGTTACTGTATCCATTTGAATTTGTACCTCACAAAATCTGTGTGTTATGTATTGTAGTTAGATAAGTGAACAGTAAAATAGCGCAGCACAAAAACATGTTGTACTGCGGGATGATTCTTTATATCTGATGGCTGTAACCAATTTAGATCGTAATTTGACAAATTCAAGGTAAGCAGTATGTTGCTTACAAACAACAATAATCTTTACAACTGTTTGAAAAAATGAGAATATATATTTAGAATCCTTTCATCAATACTTGACTGCTTCGAGACCTGTCCATCCACAGGAATCCTATTGGTGTATACACTATGCCAGTGCAATAGTCCATGATGCTAGCAGATGCACTTTTTGCAGGACAGCCAAAAGCAGCAAATATACAAAGCCATCATTTTCAAATCTGGAAGGGAAAGGCTTCACCATTATACTGGCATAATTACCCAGCAAAGTTAAGTCTCTGATTCACCTTTCATGCACCCTCTATTTATGCTGAAGACACCAAGTCAGACCACTTCTCTATTTTATTTTTATTAGTCATGGCAGGATAAATGTTTCAGCATCAACAAAGTTGAAAGGGATACAATTTTTAAGAAAACTGTTCAGAGTTGATCAGAAGGGACTGAATGACAACAAATACAGGACAGGTAGGGACAACAACTGTTCAAGAACAGAGTTTCATATAAATAACAATAAAGATTTCCAAATACTAAATTAATATAATAGGATAATTTGCATATCTTAGCAAGAAACAGTCTATGCAAAGCAGAATGAACAAAATTAAAGAAACAGAAATATGGAAAATACAAATTAGTTACCACAAGATGTACATTTGGTTTCTTCAATGGCCAATTAAAATTATTTTATTTCAATGGCAATTGCTGTACACGAACCTCTTTCACTGCTTCATAGCATTCCTTATAGCAAAATAGTTCAAAGCTATTTCAACAAACACTCCCATATCAACCACATAAGGCTGAGCATCACTTATCCAAAATCTGAAATATTCCAAAATCCAAAACTGTCCACATGGGTGGCTAAGATACCAACACCTTTGCTTTATGTGGGTTCAATGTACACAAACTTTGATTAATGTATAACTTTATTAATGATAGTGTATAAAATACCCTCAGGCAATGTGTATAAGGTATTTAGGAAACCTTAATGAATTTTGTGTTTAAACCTAGACCCCATCTCTAACATATCACATTCTGTATGTATATGGAAATAAAGGTATTCCAAAAGCTAGAAAAAAATCCAAAATACAAAACTCTTCTTGTCCCAAGTATTTTGGATAAGGGATACTCAACCTCTACGAATAAAAAAGGTGATCTGTTGATTGCATTTATCAAGTCTCCAAAGTAAAGTCCTTGGGGAACAGGCCTGATCTTATAATAACAAAACTCATTCCTACATAAACTTGTGTAAACTATTACTGTATGTATGTATGTATGTATGTATGTATGTATGTATGTACGTATTTAATTTCTCCCCATAGGGACTCTAGGTAGCTCACAATTACATAACCCAACCCAATAATTTTTTAAAAGGCAAATAAAAAATTAAAAACTATTTAAAAACTATTAAATATTTGACTTAACTTAAATATAACTAACTTAAAATACAGTTAAGATATAATAAATATAATAAAAAGTATGTTTAAACCTCCCCCCCCCCCAAATCCCACCCATAAACTCCCCACCAGAATGCCCCTCATTCTCCCACAAAGGCCTGATGGCACAGAAAGGTCTTTATCTGGCCAAAGCCTATGAAAATTCACACTATGATAAATGTGTTAATCTTTAAGGTCCCACAATACTTTGCTATTTTTACTTTGAAGTAAATGGGTATAATACTGTAGCCTGCAAGTTTTTTTCCTTCTAACAAAAGATGAAGCCATCTTTTAAAAACAGTGTTACTTTGTACATCCACAGGAACTGCAGGTGATGGCTGAAATAAAAGGTCTTGCCATTACTAGCTAGAGAAACATACTATGAAAAATACGAACTTGTTTTTAAAAGCCACAGTACTTACTTGGCCATGAGTTTTGCTATTCGATGGCAGTCATTCTTGTCATAGAACCAGATACTGTAAATTGACACTTTAAGATATTAAAAAAGGAACTAGTTAATATCAACAGGTTACTTTTTAAAAATCCAAGTGATTACAGATGTGCCTCACATGAAAAACTGAAAAAGCACAGTACATAGATTTCAAATGTATTACTTCAGTCACCTATACTGGAATGATTAAACAAATAATAAAATAGATGTTTGGTTATTAAATTACATGCTAGTGAACAATTTAATATGTACAAGCTATACTAAAAATAACCATCCTGTGCCCAAGTAAGAGCATTAGTCTTAAGCCACAAAAAGGTTCCATCCACAAAGCTCCAAATCTGACAAGTTAATTACAACATGTCAGATAAAACGGACATTGAAACAGAACAAAACCTAAGATGCAGCACCAAACATAAACTTCACTTCAGTTACGAATGTATAACTAAAATGAAACTCTTATTTTATTCCTTGAAAGGCAATTACATATAAAGGAAACTTTGGGTTGCAGTGTTTTACATTTTCTTGGAAATCCCAGTGAGTTTACTTCAACTTGCTTTTGAGTAGACATGCAAAGGATTGTACTGCTCTCAGATTAATATTTCAAACAGCAGTAACATATGTGAGAGAGCAATTCTATATAGAATCATAATTGAACATTAAAGAACAGTTTTTTTTTAAAAAAAACTGGATAAAGGATGAGTAAGAAGCTAGATGTTTGAAGGACAGGGGTCAAAATTTCTACTGTGCCATAAAAGAGAAGTCTAAGGGAAAAAATATGAAACTAGCAAAGCTGTGATATCAATGGAACAAAACATATATAGCTGAGAACCAAAGAAGTGTTGTGTTATTTGGACAGAGACACACTGACAAAAAGAAATGTCAAAATGGACACTCTATTTAATATCTCAGCACAGGACCCAGGACATTTATATGATTTATATGTACTTGAAATATTGCTATACACAGAAGTATTCTTTAAGTGGCATGCCTGATGTTGCCCAGTCCTTCCTTCCCTGCAAAAGTAAGGGAGCCACAGTTTAAGTAAGACTACTGTCAAAAGTCTTCACAACGCAAGAATGGCTAGAAGTAATACACTTGAGCATCTTCATTCCCTGATCTTCACTACGTTTTAGGACTGGATAATTCATCTCCAATACAATAAGGCAATAAGACGACACATAAAAAGAAAATAAGAAGAGTGTAAACTGCTTCCTCTCCCCATCTTTAGCTTTGGAAAATTTATCTGCTGTCAGTTCCACTCACATACAAACATATATGTATATCAGGACTACCTGCCAATGTCAATTCAATGAGAAATCAGTCTTACACCCAAAATACACACTGATAGCATGTTTTATTTATTTATTTACGACATTTATAACTCACCTTTCTCAACCATACAATGACCCAATCTGATTCCCCTCCACCCCCAAATGTGTGTGTATGTATCCCAAAGTCATCTGTCAACTTATGAAGGCTCAATGAATTTCATAGTGTTTCCTTAAACAAGGAACATTCAGAGGTGGTTTCACCAGTTCCTTCCTCTGAAACATAGCCTACAGCACTTGGAGTTCATTGATGGCCTCCCATGCATGTATTAACTAGGTTTAACTCTGCTTAGCTTCCAAGATGCTTGTGGGAAATTGCTGCTGCTGCTGCTATTATTATTATTATTATTATTATTAGTAGTAGTAGTAGTAGTAGTATTGATACTCCACTTTTTCTCTCAACAAGGAGACTCAAAGCAGCTTCTCTTGACATTACCTCCTGCTGAAAGTTAACTATCAACATCTTTTCTCTTCTGCAGAGATGAAGTAATTATGAAGGTGGCCTACATTAAGAGCGGGTCATACAAAAACTGTCTGAAAACTTTAGCAAATAAATCCAACTGATTTTCAGAGGTCTGGGGCAAGGGCAGGCTGGGTGCTAGATCGGTAGTCCTACAAGGTCCTGGAGGATTTTTTGAATGCAGAAACTCTCAAGCTGGTAGACACAGTTTTTCCCAGCTCTTACATGCTACAAGTAACTAGCTACATGATGTATGCATGAACTGAGATCAATGAAACCAATCTGTATTTTGAATATACAAAAAGTTTCATTGTATACTTTCAACCCCCTCTTTTCTTCCTTTTCTCTCCCATCCTGTCTGCTTATTACTCTTATCTTATTCTTAGTATGCATACTGTGTTGTACCGTGTTTTATATTATCCCTGTAAAACTAATAAAAATTAAATTTAAAAAAAGTTTCATTGTTACTTTCATTGAATCCTCTAGACACCATTGAATGGTTAGGAGCTTTTCGCAGCCTGATTCAAAGACTGCGTGGAACCTCTGGTGAAATTTTGGCAGTACGCCCTTGGGATAAAATTATTTGCACACATCAGGATTTTGACATTACAGTTATAATAGAACATGTCCAAAGTTGACATAACATATTATTATCAACTCCATCTCTCTACCCCTTTTCAGATGATTCTGCCAATTATTTGCTTCCTGCTTTACATAGCTTCTCTTAGTGAAATTTATATTTTTTGTTTAATAAGGATGTGTATCCTCTGACCTGACTGTGTCCAGCAAAATATAGCCTGAACTATCATTGTTTAGTGCTTTTTTTAGTCAAGGATTTTGACTTCCTGAACACATGACTCTCTTACACACTGCCCTGTTTTTAATTTCCCTGTTTTATAAACTGCTGGGAGTTGTGATACAGTAACATCTGGAAGTGAAGTATGAATTTAGATACAAACCTTGTGGATATTACATCTGACTTTAAATTTTCATTTAACTTTTCCCCAACCTCAGAGCTACAAGTGCTATTGGGCTGCAATTCCCATTATCCCCAATTTGCATGGCAGATAATCAACTGTGATGGGAGTTGTCATTCAATAACATCTGGGAACCCAAACTGGGTAAAGACTAAAGAGCATCAACCATTATATTAAAAATGTAATTGGCCCCCTGTATCAATGAATCCTCTATCCATGGATTAAATGGCCTTCTGAAAACAACCATAAGGCAGGTGTGGCCATCAATGAAAATAGTTTGACATCCCTGTCCGAAGTGGATGATCTGCTTCAGAGGATTTAGCAGACCTCCAGAGAAAAGGCATTAGGCACCAAGTTTCTTGTGGAAATTATTCAACCAATGGAAAAATTATATTGGATTTTGGCCTATTGTGAGGTATAACAGGATGGAAAGCACATAAGCAACACCACAGGATTCAGCCCTGTACTATGGAATTATGTCTGTTAAGAAAGCTAGATCATAGGTTTATTCCTAAGGAGAAAGGAATACAATCAGTCTCTGAGTTTCAAGCATTCCGCTTACAAATTACTCATAGTTAAGAATGAGGGTGGGAAATTCACTCCTGGAAGAGTTATCATGGGGAAAAGGTGTCCCCAGTAAAGCTGTTTCACCAATCCTTGTTTCCACGACAAGCAAGTATTTCAAAATTATTACAGGGACAGAAGGTGAGGTGAACTCTATCCAAAACTTATATAGAAGTTTCACTTTAAAAAGTACCCATTCCAAATTACATACAAATTCAACTTTAACAACAAAACAACATAACCTATCTTGTTTGTAACTTGAGGACTGTAACTTTAGCCAACTAGAAGAGGCAACTCTTCACAAAGTTTAATAACTTCAGGGGAAAGAAAGGTTATAAGAACAAGAAAATGTGTTGAACCTACAAATCCCTATAGAAAAGTAGCATATACAAGAAACTTTCAATATCACAAACTTGCATTATCACAAAGGACAAGAAGGACAAAGATACAAAAATTGATTACTTGATATAACAGAAAAGCTTTCTATTTTTCTCTAGAATTACTTGCATGTTGAAAGACTACATTAGGTTAAAGTGGATATCAATGCCAAGAACTAATGGATTTGTCCTAAACAGAGCTGGCTATCAAAGACAGAACACAGATAGGAGAATGAGAACCAGAGAGTGACTGCTGTTGACACATTAGCTCAACGCATGTCACTGTTCTACTGGTCTGGCTGCCCTCAACTTAAACTCCATTATAAAAACACTAAATGCAATTTTACCATTTCGTTCTACAGAAATAGCAACAGCAACCTCACTCTTTATCTCGGTTGAGAAGTCTGCATTAAAGCAATTACTGAAGATCCATTCTCCTTCCACAATCAAACACATGCCATTCTGACAACACTGCTGATATCCACAGGTGGCTCCTCTTTCACTTGGTGAATCCACTGATGGTTTTACAGTCAAAATATAAGATTGCAACTTAAATACGCAATGTTGTATATAAGTAATCTGTTATGCCAAAGATAACAACATTTAAAGCATACTCTTCACTGCTACACTTCAACAGAGGGAAAGGCATACAAAACTTGAAGGAGAACAGAAAAAGAACGGCTATTATCCCATTTTAGAATTCAGAATTGTATACCACACCCATATTTTAACATTATGGAAATCAATCCTTTACATCAAGACAGAGAATTTAGATTCAAAGGAAAAGTTGTGAATGAAACAGATTTGGAATATTATTTCTTAAGGACCTATAGAGGTAAGTTATTTATTTTTTTAAAGAAAATCTGAGCATTTGAAGATGTTACACAATTTTGAAATGAATATATTGAGAACTAGACAAATAATAAATTACTTTTAGTTAAACAGCTAATCTGTTGATGTTGACTGAACATGTAGTGATTGGGAAGAGCTGATATGTGTTGGTAATATGGTAGGGTTTTGCCAATTTAATACTTGTTAAACTTGTTGAAACTGTTAATGGATTAAAAATGCAATCTAAAACTGAAAATTATTCTCAAGAAACAAATTTGTATTAGAGTCTGGGATAAATTGTTATTTTGAGGAGTTTAAAAACCATCTATTAATTTTGGACAGATGAAGCAAATCCTGCACCATAAAGTCAACATTAGCATTTGAATTATCTATGAAGGAATGTTTGAGCAGAGAATTAATTCATGCAAACATGATAACTTAAATTAGAATAGATGTCATTCAAAATCTCAATACATCAAAGATGAGAATAATATACAAATTATCCACCAATACTCTAACTGATTACAATTGTTCTTTCAGAAAAGTTTAGATAATTTACAATGTGTTTGTTTTATTAAAGTGTTTAAATATAGGATGCTTCATTTTCAAGTGATTTAAGGAATGACAGGTATATTGCAAGCTGTTTTTTTTATTTCTATTCATTTTCTCTTTATGAACTGACGTGTTATTTACACAGATTTCTCAGCTTGATAAATAAAGATGTCAGGATTACAATGATTTATTCTAAATCTTATAATGAGAATTATAAAAAGGTTCACTACATTCTAAATAGAAGAAGGGAATTACAAATCAATATTTTATAGCATTTTTGTACTGAATTTAGTCTGAATTCCTTTACTCACTGACTGAAAAGTAAGTCTGACTAAATTTGATTACAAGATATGTAGACTACAATTTTCTTACATTATTTTTAAGATACTGTGAATAAATAGAATATGTGATAATGGATTTTTAAAAGTGTAAATCTAATTTGATTTTAAATCAGTTAACAACTTTACAATGAGCGAGAAAAACTAAAAGAATGAAGGAAAATCTACACTGCTGGAGATATGTTTGGACAAAAAAAGCAGATACCCATCATTTGCCAGATTCATATTATAGTATGACTCAAAGACACACTGGTAAAATCACTGTTTCTTAGGGATACAGTGCTAGGCACTTGCATAAACATTCTCACATGACAAGAAAATCAACATGTAAATTTAGTCTTATGGTCAAGCCTTGAATAAAAGGGAAAAGATCTGGGCTGCTCAGTGAAATACTAATATTTATTGTGTTGTTGAAGGCTTTCATGACCTGAATCATTGGGCTGCTGTGAGTTTTCTGGGCTGTACGGCCATGGCCTGTACGGCTGAGTGCTTCTGGAATATGGCCATACAGCCCAGAAAAACTCACAGCAGCCCACTAATATTTATTACTCTTGTTAGTTGTTATACCAGTAGCAGCAGCACCACCATTTTTACACTCTAAAGAGACCAGAACATTTATTTTCAGATACTGTTTCTGAACCCTTTGTCTTTTCCCTAACTAGCAATTCTTTCATATCAACTCATTCTCAAAAATGCCAATAATGAGAACCATGATTTCCTGTTAGTCAGTGAATTAGGTTTATGGAGAGAGAGGTGTAACGGAAGGGACATTAAGGACAGACTGATACAAATTACATTAGGAGGAACTTAACACTGTTTAACAATATAAGTTTAAAGGGAATACAGTTTGAAGAATATACCGAAGCTGATGGGAAATTTTAACTGGCTCCTTCTGCCGCACACATATTATTTTAGCAGCAACATTTCTCAAGCTTTCAATTAAAAAATTATAAACATTCAGGTTTATACTCACAATTAGCATTTCTGTACAGAAGAAAAGGTTCATGCAGTTGAAATTCTAAATCTTTGTTTACAGGCTCAACCAAGTTGTGCATGTTCAATCGATTCACAATTGTAAACCCATGGTAAGGTGAAGCAGACCTATTATTTCAGGGAAAAACAGAACAGCATAAACAGGATACTACAGATAACCATCTGTTTTCAGGAAATCAAAGTGATAATGATTTAGTAGAATTCGGTTTAATGACAAAAAAATGAATCACTCTTCCCGCTCTCTTTATTCTGCCTTTTTTGAGGCCTCCAAGGGGGTAGATGCACAAGTAGATGAAAATCTAAACAGCATCCTGCTCCATTAATTGTTACTCAAGGGCTTGAAAAAGAATACACAGGTTAGGGATTTGAGCAAGAAATGGTGCAATGTCTCCGTTTCCCTGATGGTTTTCAATTCCTACTTCATGTTCAAGGGTCTTGCAATCAAGACAGAAAGAACTCTTTTGCCTGCAGAAGGGCACCATTGGAACCAAGCCAAGGTCTCTAATAGTATCTCTGCACAAGATAGTATCACAAAAACAGTCTACTATGTAATGCAATAAAGTTTTTGCCAACCAAGGAGTTCTTAGGAGCTTAAGAATACTGTCAAGCAAGCAAGTCCATTATTTTAAGAAAATTTAAGCACTAAAAAGACATTTTATTGTTTTATGTATTTGAGGCCCAAAGTAAGAGGTCATTTCAAAACATCATTTTATATTCATTTTAAGCATATATTACAACAGATGGGCTAACAGCCTGAGCTAGCATGTCAAATATAATTAAAACTCAGTGAATTAATGATTAAAGCGCTAAAGGTCTGGAAATAGCATGCTTAAAAGCCCAAGGCACTGCAACAGTGAAAATAAGAAGAGTGACATTTGAGAATTTGACTTATTTTCTCTAGACCTTTGAGAAGACGTTGAAGAAAAATGATGTACTGTTAATATATGAACTTCTAGCATTAAAATGTGAATTCTATAACTATGCAAACTAGATACAATAGAAAATTTTCACTTGATAACAAAAGGACAGCAAAGAGAAAACTATCCCAACCTTCCTAGTGACATAATCCAAAGCACTTTCATGTCAAAACTAAAGATGTCTAGGAAGATTGTACACCTGAATCTTAGAGCTCAGATAGGTTCATTTAGAAAGATAAAAAAGATAGGTTCTGTATATTTGTTCTTAGGTTTAATGTGTATGTAAGTTGGAACAGGTACTTTTTAGAGTGTAACTCCAGCCATATAAGTGTATGGAGATGTATGTGCATATACATACATACATACATACATACATACATACATACATACATACATATGCTTTGGATAGCATAGGGAAGGGTTGACATTCCTGTGGTGCTTGTTTTGTTGTCTGTGCAGCTGTTCAGAAGATTTCACCTCACTTTCTGTCCCTGTGATCATTAGATCTTGAATAATTTAGCTTGTTGTGGAAACAAGGATTGGTGAGAAAGCTTCAGTGGAGAGAGACACCTTCTCCCCATGATAACTCTTTCAGGAGTGACTGTCCCTTCCAAGGAGTAGATTTCTCTCACTTTCTGTTGTCCCACCCCCATTTGTAATTATTAATTATTTGCATGTCAGGATATTTATAACTCAAGTTTTGCCTGTATACTATAACACAGTGGGCTCTTGGTATCCACCAGAGTTTGATTTTAGGATTTCTGGAGGGGGGGGGGGGTGGTTGTTTGCCTGAAAATATAAAAGACTCCAAGTAACCAGCATAGTGATTTATAATTCAATATAAATATTTATTATTTATTTACTTTACTTATATACTGCTGTTCTCAGCCCGAAGGCGACTCACAGTGGTTCACAACAAATAAGAACAGCAAAAATTCAATGCTACAGTGTAAAAACAGTTAACAACCTAAGATATTACATAATTAATAAACAATTACTACAATATGTCAGAATACTTTTCTGAAAGCTTGCCAGATTTACCATTTAGAACATCAGCAGTCATGTTATGAAACAGCTCTATCAATTTCACCAGTGAGGCTATGTACATTGTAACTTTGGCGAGCCGATGAAGGGTAATTATAATCCCAAACAGCGTTACTTTGAATACCCTATTTACTTGAATTTAATGCTCCCCTTTTCTGGCTAAACTACCTCACCAAAATTAGGGTGTGCATTAGATTTGCGTAATACGATAATCTTAACTAGATTGTATTTCATAAGCAAGTGGATAGCCATCTAATGTATTTGTAATGTTGTGCCTTGTTTTGTTTGAAATAGCATCAAACCAGAGACAATATGACTGCATAATTAATGCCATTGTTTTTAATCTATTGTGTATTTATGGTTTTATATTGTTATATTGTGATATTTGCAGCATCGAATTGTTGCCAGTGTTAGCCACTCTTGAGTCCCCAGCTCGGGGGTTGAGAAGGGCGGGGTAGAAATGTTGTAAATAAAATAAATAAAATACACATTACAGAAACTGATGCAATACAGGGGCCACTGAGTGACCTTGGGCAAATTACATTCTCAGGAATAACAAATCTATTCTGAAAAAATATTGCCAAGAAACCCCCATGCTAGGTTTGTCTTAGGGTCACCTTATGTTAGAAATTACTGGAAGGCCAGGAAGCAGATTTTTAAAAAAGAACAAAATGTGCTAAAAACATACAAGGGGTTATTTTCCGACTCTATCTTGTATTCTCCTCCGTAAATCAGAATATAACTTTTTGTATGTTTTTGCATACTTTGCACTTCTTTTACCTGCTCCTGAATAGGGAAGCAACAATGTACCTGCTACCTCTATTTTCCCCTTTCTCATAGGGAGGTAAATGTGATTCTTCCCCTCCCTATTTCAGAAAAGGCACATATCAACTTTTCTCTCCTATATAGTTTTTAAACATATTTATATGTAACACCTTTGATAGATTTTTCTCTTTCCCCAAATTGACATCATAATCTGCATCACTCGATCTGACTTGGATTTTAATTAGTTCAGTCCAGGCAAGTTGCAGTTTATTTCCCTTTTCCAGAGAAAGAATCAGGACCATCTACAGTTTACATGTGCAGTCTCTTGTTTTCTGGTCACACCTGGTTGATCTGGGCTTTCCGAAGTCTCTCCAGCCAACTGCACAGTATCTCTCAATTATTTTTACAGGTTTTACATACAAGTTACAACTACTACTGGTGATTTATCTTTCTCCCCGTCTCATCTTTGTCTGATCAAGTCCAGAGGACCATGAACTTTCCTTCCATACAATACTGTATTTCTTCAGTCCTAAGTAGTACATTTTTTCATATATAAACATTAGGGCTGGGCAACCACGGAAAAATTTGTTTCTAAACTCGATTCGTTTTTTGGGGTTTTTTGCGTTTCGATATTTAAAAGAATTCCGAAATTTTTCTTTAAAAAAGTTCGATATTTACGAAATTTCGTAAAATTACGAAACGAATACGAATCGATTCGTTAATGGCGGACGCGACCGCGCAATACGCTAAAAAACCTCCATATGGGACAGGGGGAACTTCTGAAGCTTCCCTCTCCCTCTGTTGTTGACTGTTGGTGTGATATTTATAATTTTTTTTCACGGATTAAACAAACAACAGCTATAAAACTTGCTCCAGACATGCGGAAATAATAACGAAACGATTTCGAAACGAATACGAAACGAATACGAAGCAATTACGAAACGAATTGAAAAATTCGTTCCGTTTTTTAGATGCTCCTGAATGGTTTGTTATCGCTTCGTAACCAAAAAAAAAAAAAATTAACGAATTTTTAATGAATTACGAAATTACGAAACAAAACCGCCCAGCCCTAATAAACATCTCTAAAAATGGGGTGCATCTTATAATCGCAGGGGTACCTTATGTATTTTTGCTGGTGGTGGTGGTGGTACTGAAATTAGGTGTGTCTTACAATCAATGGCATCTTATTTGCATTTCATATTTTTGTCTTGAACATATCTGGATGATTTCTCTTTAGACACCACAGGGGAAACTGAAGCTGCCAGTTCTCTGAGCGACTTTAAACTGTCATCCAGTTTTTACTTCTTAATGAATTACCAGAAGTCCTGCTCTCTGGAAGGTTGATCGGCTCCTGGTAGATCAATCCTTTCATTTCTCTTCTCAGTGTTGCCAACAGAACTAAGACCCCCTGGTTCACATTGATTCCCACATTCTGACTTAATATGCAAACATTGCTCTGCATAGTAGCATGTTTTGCAAAATTACAATCAGACCCAAAACAGGAATACGTGAATGAACGGTAAGATCCCAGGTTCCTGCCAATCTTTCTATCTCATATTTATTCTTGTTATGGCACTAGAAAACTAGTCCATCCTTCCACTATGTTTTCCAGTATGCCATTCTGGCCGACAAGATGAAATTGAGTTACACATAGTTGAGCTTCTGTGTCTTTTACAGCCAACATTTTGTCCCTTTAATTCTGCTTTTTATTCAAAATCCCCACTCTTCTGAATCTAGTGATACAACCATAGAGCACTTGGCCAGCTCAGAATGTAACATGATAGCTGCCTCACTGAGGCCTTCTGTCTCCCTGGTAACCAGCCTAGTCAGTGATCTGTCTTGCTTAGTGTTTAATTACCTGCCTGCCCCTTCAGACTGGACTTTTCATGCGCAGATCTCTTGCTCATGATTCGGGGTAGATTCTGCCTGCTTGAGATAGGGAAGTTAAAATGTATGTCTCTCACATCCTCACATTCATAGCACTTCTTGGTGTCCTGTGGGCTAGCTTTAGAATTCCTTGCTGCCAAAGGCTTTTATCTCTGGCACTTTGGTATTAGAGAACTGACAGGTTCTGTGGGCCTCTATCTCAAAAAAGGGTTCTTTTTGTGTGTCTTATGCCAATGGTTTCTTTCCCCCTTCTGTCCTCAAAAGTATGAATGGATCCTATATTTTAGACTGTTCGCCCTAATTTAGTGTCAGTCCTGCACCAACCACTCAAGATCTCTGTTTGGCTTTCTCTTAACCACACAGGCCCACTGCTTGATACCAAATAAATGTGACAAATGCCTTAACCTAGGCCCTAAGAATCCTGCCATTCACCCTTCCCTTGTTTCCCCAATTTTCTCTTGCTTTATTGTGTGGACTTGTGGCTGTGTTGCTGTGTAGATTCTTTGTTTTGGTATATGTGGCCTGACTCTAATTTAGGCTTACAGGGAGACAGAGACAAGTTTATCTGATACACAAGAACAGCTTTATTAAAGTAGAAAAGTATAGTAACCTGTAAAAAAACTATTTTAAACACCCTTAAAACACAGGTAGTTTCCCCGTTTTTAAAAATAAAAAATTCTGTCAAAATCCATTCAAAACCCTAGGCCGACTTCAAACCCTGTCAGAGCCAGTTCAAATCCCTGCCTCAATCTCATAGAGGCAAGTCTTGCTTTTAGGTACATTCAAACCCCACTTCACAGCATTCCTGTGCAATGCTTGGTGGCATTCACACCAAGTTTGCCAAACACGAACTTCATAATTGTTAATAGCAAACACAAAATGCTTGTGAAAGATCCGGTTATAACATTAATGCAGATGCAGAATCACCACTATTTGTAACTGTGCATGTACCAATCCCATGGAAAGTGTACGTTTTCTGCACAGGCAGTAAAAACGCTTTGATACCTTGCATGAGGGCTAGCATGAATACGATCCTGCACTCTGATTGGTAGTAACTATCTTTAGAATTCAAAACTGTTGTGAAGATTTTTATCTTCGAGAAAGTTTGTGTTTCTCCAAAGAAATCCCAGATTTTTTTAGGACTACATATAAGGAAAACAGAACATTAAGGTTTCAAAGTGCATCAACAAAAGAAGGGATGCTTTAATTCAAACACATAAATACATATATTAATTTATAGTTCACAATGTTTTAAGATAGATATGAGGAAAGAGTTGAGCTTACCTTTTATATACAAATAAAGTACCTTCTATGTCAGTCTTCTCCTATAATGAACAAGAAAAAACAGCAACATTAATTCAAATACTAGATTTGTATAGCATTCTTCGGTTTCATATTTATGCTGATATTCTGACTGTATGACAATTAATTGTTACTATCTGTTTGAATGAAAAAAGAGAACAGTTATGGTTCAGTTCTCCAATGCACCATGCTGATAAATAAGCATTTAAATTATGCACACCAACCAGCACTGGTTGATGCTGATTGGTCTGCTCAGTTTAGATTTCCGTGGTGTGTTACTAACCTTATAATTTTGCTCTGACAGTCCTGTTAAAGTAATACTAAAAAAATTAAAGTCTAATTATTTTTTCTATCTTGTGTCTTTCGCAAACATATTACAAAAAGAGATTAAACGGTCTTTATTAGCATAAGTCATTATAAATTAGTGACAAAGGGGATTAATAAGGCAGACCTGTTTTTCCTTTATGTCAGCCATCTGTATTTTAAAACTTTTTCTTTAGCTGCCATATAACACATAAAAGATTGTGCCTCTGAGCGATAAATTTTCACATTAACCAAAGTCTGACAAAGAGGTTAGCATGTATGTTTGAAAAGTCAAGTTTTAAAAATAGAAAAGTGAACACAGTATCTTCCTGAAATGTACATGAGTGGGTAGAGGGGAAAGGCAAGATTTTAAAAATAAGGCTTACAAATATGAAGTGTACAACTGAAAACTTGATTTTGCAGACTGCTTCTCTGCTAGATGTAAACATGCAGCTTACAATTCAAATGTATTCAAATGGAGTAAACTAATCTCAATCTAGTTCAGATCACCAGAGACTAGAAGAAACAAGAAAATAAAGGAACAAGACAAGAGTACCACTACACACAAGACAAAATGGGTTTCACTGAACTTCAGGAGCCAGAAGTGACAGCAGCTATCCTAGGGAACAGAACCCTAGAAGTTGGGCTAAGCAGCAGAATAGTTCTAGCCCTCATAATCTCGGTGCACATTTCAAGTCACAAGGAAACACTGATTCAACAGAGAGTCTCACAGGTGGAACAAGTCCTTCAGGTATCCTGGTGCTGGGTTATTTTAGAAGGAAACAGTGTATTTATCTGTCTCAGTTACATACTCTTTGAGGGACAAGACAAAACTGCCATGTAATGAAGTTAATGACTCATATAATGCAGCTAAACTGAATTATAGAAGTCTACACTAACCTTATTTTGCAGTTTCAAACTGCATTATATGGCAGTGTAGATGGGGCCAAAGTTAAAAGCCTAAAACATGTTGTTCAGACAGACACTTCCCAATAATTTTGATTAATTCTCTTTTATGCATCTATTTTCTTTATTCCTGAATTAATATTGCTTGTTTAGGCCAGCAATGTGAACATTAGACAGGAATACAACATTTTAGTCTTCTTGTAGCGCATAAGCAGCATGCAAATAAATGTTGGGGGAAGTATCAGGACTAGTGCAGGTTATGGTGTCTTATCCATGACCACTAGAAATAATGGGACACCACCTTCTGAGTTGGTCCTAACATGATGAACAGAAAGAAGAGATAGCTGTATCCTAAGGATGTAAAAAGTCTATGAAATCTACCTGGAAACACTAATAATCTTCTGTATGACTATTACATTGCTTCTTGTTTTTCTCTGTACTTTAGAGCAAACATTTTTGCATGCAGAGGTTATAGCACACTATTAAATCTTCCTTTGTAACGAAAGGTATCCAAAGAGCAGGAGATAGTATTTGTTTCTTTTGTGGGGAGTTGTAACACATAGCATCACACTTCTATGGGGGGTCCTGGAACCAAACCTAAACAGATACTTCTGCTGGGGTCCTAGAACCAAACCTAAGCTCTCTTGCACTCCTTCTAAAACTGTGGTCTCTTCTTGGTTCAATGTTGGGTGCAACAAAAAAAATTGCAACAGTAAAAGGTTTCTGAACACTACCTATTTACACAAATCAGTTAGGAACAACATGAAGTGTTTACTTCCCAGAAAACACTCCAGAAAACAAATCAGCCTATTTAGCAAGTCTTGCAAATGTTGATTTATTACCAGTAAATGTGTGATTTTTATACCTATTTAATGTACCTATATACCCAGGATCATGTAAAAATTTCTCAAGTGGAAAAGGGTTGCAGGAAGAAAAAGTATAAGAAGCCCTGATCTACGGTACACCTATTGGATCTCAGGGGAAAGATAATAATAATGATAATAATAATATTTTTATTTGTTAGCCACCTCTCCTCATGGCTGAAAGCAGGTACAACACAGCTAAAACACACTACCATAAAATACATACATCGTCTGGATTACTGTAATGCACTCTATGTGGGGCTGCCTCTGAAGAGGGCTCAGAAACTTCATCTGGTCCAAAGAGCTGCAGACATGTTGTTCACTGGGGCTAGCTACAGGAAGCAGACAACCCTATTGTTTAAACAGCTCCACTGGCTGCCAGATAGAATTACCAGATAGAATTCGAAGTGCTGGTTATGACCTTTAAAATCTTAGACATGTGATTCCCAACCTGTGACCTGTGGCCTGTGGACCACCAGTGGTCTGAAAGAACTAAAATATGGTTCGCAGCCTCATTGTTACTACACCATTGCAACAAGAGTGACTGGTCTTGGAAAACTCTCTTATAGTGCTGAGGCTTATTAAATATGGTTTTCTGTGGGTGAGAAGATGGTGACTACTGGATGGCATATGTTCTGTATCAGAAACTAGAGTTGATGTGATCTATCCAATGCAATTTTCTGAATCAGCATCCCAAATAACCAAACCAAATGTAATATTGACCAAAAACGGATTCATAACCCTTCTGGTACTAATGTTGGTGCGTGGTCGCTGGTCGAAAAAAAAAAAGGTGTGGAACGACTGCCCTAGACAGTTCAAGTCCAGGCTATTTGGTCAACCACATCCACTTGTATGAGCCTACCTGGGCGAAGTCCTTCTCTTGGTCCTACCGCCATCTCAAGTTCAGTTATTGGGAATGAGAGAGTGGGCCTTCCTTCTCGGTAGCTGCCCTGCGACTCTGAAACTCCCTGCCCAGGGAAGCAAGAATGGCCCCCTCCTGCTACCCTTCAGGTGGCATGCTAAAACCTTTTTATTCAGGCAGGCATTTAAAGAAGAAGGTTTTAAAGATTATCAGGGACCACTGTGATTTTTTAATGTTTTAAATGATGTTTAATCCTGTTTTAATACGTGTATATTTTAACGCTTTTAGTTGTGAGCCACTTTGAGTCTCCGTATGGAGAGAAAAAAGCAGGATATAAATAAACAGACTTTTAAAGATGAAGGTGTCCAAGAACTAGTCAGGGGGTTCTGTGCTTTTGAACTGTTTTGATGGATTTTAACTGCGATTTTTTTCAAATGCTGCTGATGTTTAATTCTATTGAATGCTTGCAATCTTGTTTATTTTAAATGGTATATTAAAGTTTTTAGGTCAAGCTGCCTTGAGTCCCCTTTGGGGAGATAAAGTGGGGTATAAATAAATATATCGCAGGTTCAAATCCAGAGAGCGGCGTGAGCACCTTGCTGTTAGCCCCAGCTTCCACCGACCTAGCAGTTTGAAAACATGTGAATGTGAGAAGATAAATAAGTACTGCTCCAGTGGTAAGGTAGTGGCGCATCTTCCAGTCATGCCAGCTACATGACCTTGGAAGTGTCTATGAACAACGGTGGTTCTTTGGCTTAGAAATGGAGATGTGTTGGACATGACTGGACTTAATGTCAGGGGAAAACCTTTAACCTAAATAAATATAAATCAAACTACAAGAAAGGAGATTCCACCTGAACATTGGGATGAACTTCCTGACTGTGAGAGCTGTTCAGGAGGGGACCTCTCTGCCCCGGAGTGTGGTGGAGGCTCCTTCTATGGAGGCTTTTAAACAGAGGCTGGATGGCCATCTGTCGGGGGTGCTTTGAATGCAATTGTCCTGCTTCTTGGCAGGGGGCTGGACTGGATGGCCCACGAAGTCTCTTCCAACTCTATGATTCAATAATAATAATACCCTAAAATATTTACATTGAAAAACACGGCCACAAAATACCTGTATTACAATTCACGGTGCAAGAGTGATAAACATACAATAGAAATAGAAGGTGAATATAAAACTCACAAGACAAGGAGGAAAGAGGAACTACTAGCGCAGGCCTGGGCCAACTTGGGCCTTCCAAGTGTTTTGGACTCCAACTCCCACCATTCCTAACAGCCTCAGGCTTAAGCGGCTGAGGGGAAAAAGGAAAGGGCCTGAGGCTGTTAGGAATGGTGGGAGTTGGAGTCCAAAACACCTAGAAGGCCCAAGTTGGCCCAAGCCTGCGCTAAGAGCAGCAGCAGCAGCAGCTTCTGTGGGAACTCCGAAAGGTGGGCGTGTTTCTGCGAATGGCCGCCAAAGGGGACGGGGCCCTTCTCCCTCCCTCCCAGCGAGCGGGGCCCCGTGGACTCACCCACTCGTTGTCCTTGGGGCTGAAGCGGTAGAGGGCCACCTGGCCGGTCACGTCGGCGATGCTGGTGATGTAGGGGTCGTGCTGCTTTAAGGCCGCCAGGCTCATCTCCTGCCCCGCTTGACTCAGCGACGCCATCTTGGATCCGGGACCTCGGCCGCGGCGGGGAAGGGAAGGAGGGGAGGCCCAGGGAGCGTCACCCGCACTGGTCCGCCCCTCTCTAGCCGCCGGTCGGAAACCGCCTTTGCCCGGCTTTGCGTTCCCAGTCTCTAACCCGTCCTTGGTGTTTCTCCTAACTGGACTAGTTCTAGAAGGGAATGGTCAACGCCGGGAAAGAAACCCAAATGAATATATTTCCGCAGCTCTGACTGCTATTTAACGATTGCCGCGACGGAAACTGTTTCACCTAGAAATACATTTCCGGCTCTTCAGTGTTTGGGGTGGCAGGTGATTGAGTTTTCTGTAAAAATTGGGACCCAATGAGGTTTAATGTCAAAGAGGTTTCTGGAGTTGTGGGTCATATATGCCCAGGCATGATTGCACACACACACATACACATAAAGGGGCTTTAATTTTAAAGTTTTTGGGGTTGTGTGTCATATATGTGCATGTATGTTTGCACATTGTGGGATTAACATAATCCCACAAACTGTGCTGGTACAGCTGTACCAGGAGCTCCAATTTTGTTTGCTTTGCACTGAATGTTTGTTGTAGTCCTAAATTTCAGGGACTCTGCAGATAGGTGGCTTCTTTTGGCTGATAGGTGGATTCTTTTGGCTGCAATCATAGGGCAAGCCACCTGTCAATTATAGTTAGGTTCCCTGGTCCCGCTCCCTTTTGGGTTTTTGGGAGGGAATAGGAGCCAGTTTTGGGTCAGTCCACACAGAGAAGCCTTCCATGTAGGACATAATACCAAGAGCTCCTGTAGAAAGCTTCGTCTTCTATGGCTTGACCGGGGAGATATACAGCCCACAGCTTGGCTGGGGTTATACAGCCCTACAGTTCCTTTGCTGAAGGACTTCAGTTAGCCATCACGGAAACCTGAGTTCTTTTCCCCTGGAAGTCTACAAAGCTCTGCTTGTTAAGGGTCACTCGCGGAAGCCAGAAGCAGTTGGTACCGGGTGCAGGGGCTCCACGCCAACAGAGGCAAAGATAGACTGCCCAGATTAGAAGTTAAGGATTTCCCCATTAGTTACAGTTATGAATATAGTGCCTGTTCCCTGTGGACAAGATTGAGAGAGAGCCAATAGACTGTTAAGAAAGCCTTAAAGTACCTGTTTGTTTTCATTAATAAAGAACTTTGTTGAACCTTTAAGCAATCTAAAGACTCTGTTTTAAGAAAATCCAAAGGCCTTTAATCTGAGGCAGACCCGGCGTCCCGTTGGGCACACAGAATTTATGTCCTGTCTACAGTCTGATGCACAGGCCCAGCGTGCGACAGCACACAAACCACTGGGTGAATTGACACCAGATTTGGACACAATACACCTATCAGGCCAACGAGTGACCATCACTCATAAAAACACTGAAAAACACAGCGGAAGAGACTTCAAAAGCAAAAAAAAGCCCCCACAAAAAATACATTACAACGCACGCGCAAAACCACATATATACCCAAACACACATATACACACAGGCATATATATGCATATATATATATATATATATATACACACACACACACACAACACATATACACAGACTAGGCCACAGTCTGTGGCCTAGTTTCTTATTTATTTATTTCCAGCGTTTCTATCCCATCCTTCTCAACCCCTGAAGGGGGACTCAGGATGGCTTACATTGGCAACAATTCGATGCTATAAATACAAACAAACAACAATATAGCGATAGTTTAAAACAATAAATAAATCATTTGGTTAAAAGCAGTTAAAACATTTGTCAACACCATGAAGTCAGTCAGTTTCTTCTCCCTTCACCCCCAACCCTTACTTATTTGTATGTACTGCATTTGCAATATAGGTTGCTGTATGAACTGCATCTGCAGCTTCTCCAGGACCCTGGAGACCAAATGACACTGTTTTTGTGACCTTGGAGGTGATACTCTCATCACTGGCGGCAGAGTTTTCCAAAATGTTGAGGAACAATGAGAAATAAATCTAAGCCTTCTTGAGCTTCATGTGGTCAAAGCTGCCGAATTCCTGCCTCTGATAGAGAGTATTTTCTTCTTCAGTTCTCTAATATGAATTTTGAATTTGAGTAGAGTGTATGTTCTTAAATGGGTTACCCCATGCCTCCCCACCCCGATTCTGTATCATTAGCTGATATTCTTATATGGTGGGTACCTTTTCCAGTAATCTCTTATGGAAAGAAATATGAATGACTGGGCGGGCACAGACTATACTAAATATATGGTGATGGAGTGGTGCCCAGTGCAGTGCTCTTAATAAGGCATTGGGGAACCACTTCACAAAAAAGCACTCTTTGGATAGAGAGAGTTATCAATTAAACAGTAATGTTTGCTTGGGAGGTATCCAAAGCAGTTGACAGATGAGATCCAAAACCTTACCGTGGACTTTTTGTCTCATTTGATAACATACCAAATTTCATGACATTGGGATAAAATATTTAATTTCTATGTATGTAGTATAAAAGATGGATAAACATTGTGTGTATTGAGTCCAAATGTTTCCTTTTTTTCCTGGAAACTTGGCAGACACCAGCAACCAATGGCTCTGGGACCACCTTTGGTCCTGGCACTGCCACTCTGAAGTAGAACTGGTTTAGAGCATTGTTTCTTAAACCCTGGGTCCTAATCCCAAATATATGGGCTTATTCTAAAGAAACATTACATTATAATATAGACATTGTTTTACAATAAAATAATATTATAAGCATATATATTATTATATTTTAAATCTGTTTAAGCAACAAAAATTATCCACCCTAATAACATTTCTAATATACAATATAATGACATTATAATTGCATTATGTAGTATAATGTAATATAAAAGCACATTGCAAGCAGAACTAATTATATTAGTTCAAGAATTTAATGTAAGAATCATTCTGCTTTGTAATACAATACAACTCCTGTATCAGTGAGGAATGTGTTCCTAAAATTTGCAGGGGAAACAGGAAACCATGGATAATAGCTAACCCTATTGAAATAAATAACTTCTTACTAGTATAGAACCTCCCTTGAGGACCTCGAAAATGTCTAAAGAGGTATCCTCTAGGAATTTGCTAGATCGTCCAATACCATTATGTAATGACATCTGGAGGGTCCCTTGGTGGCACAGCGGGTTAAACCGCTGAGCTGCTGCACTTGCTGACTGAAAGGTCAGCAGTTCGAATCCAGAGAGCAAGGTAAGCTCCCATTGTTAGGCCCAGCTTCTGCCAACATAGCAGTTCGAAAACATGCAAATGCAAGCAGATCAATAGGTATCGCTTCGGCAGCAAGGTAACAGCGCTCCATGTAGTCATGCTGGCCACATGCCTAGGAGGTATCTACAGACAATGCTGGCTTTTCAGAGATGAGCACCGCCCCCTAGAGTCAGATACAACTAGACTCAATGTCAAGGGAAACCTTTACCTTAATAACTTCTGGTATAAGCACACCACAGAATTTCTAGAAAGGATATATTTTGTTGGAGGTGGACAAGTCCTGCAGGCATGGGAGCCATGCGTTATTTTAGAAGTTCTTTTTTCACAGATCCGATAGCAATCACACCCTATTTACACTGAACAAAATGTATGTAATAACTTATGAAACCTGTTTATGATATAGAACAACTGTTTTATGTAGTTATACTAGCCTTTCCCAGCTTGGTAGCCTTTTGAATTGTTGGATTGCATCTCCCATCACCTTTGACCAATGCCTATGCTCTCTGAGGCTTTTGGGAAATTTAAATTAAAAGCACTTGGAGAGCACCAGATTGGGGGAGACAGAAGCGTGTTCTTTCTGCTATTTTGTCTTTTAAGTGTAGATACCTCCAGGCCTCTCAGGCAGAACAGGGAGACTAATGCAAATCGATAGGCTGTTTGTTCTTTCTTCCGAAGCTGGTGAAATCCTTTAGGAAATTATATGGAAAAGGAAGCATTAAAGGAACTATGAATAATTGAAACCATGTAATCTAATGAAGTACAAGTATAACAGCATAAAAGAAACATTTACTCTACTGGAGTGTTCCCTATAGTTATGAATTTAACTTTCTTTCACCCATTTAAGGTGAAGCGAATAGATAGGAAATGCTCATTGTAAAAAAAAGAAAGAAAGAAAGAAAAGGCTGTAAACCACAGCAGTGATCCTAAAAGGACAGATGCTGTGGATCGCTAATTTTAATCCTTCTGTTCTTCTCACAACAGCAATGGGAAAGGTTGAAATAGGTCAAAAGTAGCCCTCCTTACATTGCTCAAGAACATTCAAAAGATTAATAATTTATGGATTATCTCCTAGAAACAACGATCTGGTGCAGACAGGTAATCCAATATCCTGTATCCTTCTAACATGGGGTGCCATTTCATCAGGGGATTGTGCATGAGTGGCAACTTTTCCGGAAAGGCAGCAGCTGCCTGCCAGCTGGAGACATACAAATTGCAAGAATTTGTTTCATGATTATGACATCTTCCACTGGATGAGGGTAAGTGGTTCAATTGCACAGGTGAAGCTGGGCATTGCGTCATTTACACGTTGGAAGCAGTTTTGATCGTAAATAATATTTTTTCTGAATGCAGCACAAGGTAAAAGAAGACAACTGATGCCAGCAACTGATCCAAGATGCAATTTGCACTCCTGTTTCTTTTTTTCATCCATGTCCAAAAGCTGCTAATTTCTCTGGTGTGTGTCTATTCTTTCATGCAAATCCTTATATGGTGGAAGTTTCTACTACTGCAATGTTTTTATTCTTAAAATCTAAATCAGAAGATAGTAATATTTCTTCCCAATTCAGTTACAAGTTGTATAACTTATTTTGGAAATAATCCCATGGCTAAATAGGAGTATTCTAACTCTGAAATATCCGCTTTTTCAAACATAACATAAATGGCATATATATTAAATAAAAGATGTATAATATTGTCATCTAAAGATGAGCAGTTATCATATAGTAGCTTCTAAAATTAAATATAGGGACTTAGCAACCTTTGTGCAAAGCCTGCACATGTTGATCTCAAAATGAACCAATTTGCAGATGGAGAGCTATTCACAAGAGTAATTAAAGGC